ATTTATAACACTTTATTCTGCAAAAAGATTTTCAAATTCATTGGATTTGACTTATGGGAATTGGAAGATAGTAGTTAAATAATAGCAGAATGAAAATCCGCTTATTTAAAGAATAGCGAAAGAGCAAAAAATGCTTTGCAGAAAGCCACTGAGAATGCTGTGGTTTATTTTTTTCCCTTGTTTGGATAGAATCAAAACAGTTGAAATTTCTGAGAAGCCAGGAATTCATTGAGTAAGGATCAAAGCTGCCAGGAATGTGGAAATAAAGAAGAAACCATTTCATGAAGAAGAAAAAGATAAAAGAAATGGAGGTCTTGTCATAAAGAGGAATTGAACAGAGTCACTTGATATTTTCCACATTAATTAATTGATTTATTAATTAATTTCTTTTTCATACCACCCAATAGCCAGAAGGCTCTCTGGGCGGTTTACAAAGTTACAAAAGCTGTGGTTTTCAACCACTGGATATTCAGAATCCATACTGAAATTAGAACATGTGGCCCACTTATTATTTTTTCACTCTTGAACACTTTAAGCTTTATTTATCCACTCTCCTGTGTCTATTCATCCATTAGGGATGCGGGAGGAGGAATCCATCCAGTGGTGGAAATCTATTGGATTTCCTGGGCTTGGCTCCCTCAATTCTAGGGGACTGGAGCAGTCCCCTTGCAGTGTCCCAGAGTCATACCTAAGGACTGAGTATTGCAGTTATGTGCTACACAAAAAAACTCCCCTCTTGCATGCCAAGAGCACCTACTGCTTGAGTGGCTGCAACTAATGCTGAAGAAGGCTGGCCATGAGGGGCTCACCAGGAAAGCAGCGCCGTAGGACCTCTTTCCATTTCTGTGCCCTTGCAGCAGCTTCTTGGGTTGCTGCAGCTGATGCACAGGAGGGTTGCTGGTTGTGCCACTGGGGCTTTGCAAGTGTTTGCTGACTTCTCAGCTCAGCTCACTTTGGAAGACCATGCTGAGCACAAGAGGAAGCCCCTGAGTACTTGGAAGGACAGATTCTGACAGGGGTCATTCCAACCCTGTCATCAGTCTCAGTTACCTTACTGCCAACCTGCTAATTTTCACTAGCACCACAATTGCAGTGACTGCAGCAGGTGCACACATAACTTTGCTGGGCTGCATATGGCCCATAGGCCATACATTGCACAAATCAGAATATGGAATATATTTTTCTCTAGGAAACATCAACAGCTTTTATTTACCTCCCCCTAGTTTGACTGATCCCTCAGAACTTACAGACATTCATCTAAATGAGCTTTGTTTTGCTCATCAGATACTCACAACAAAATGGTGTTTGCTCAGGTCAGCCTGATGCACGACAAATCTATGGACATGCAGGCAGCTGGAGAAAGAAACAAGCAAATAATTTGATTTGATCCTGAAGGACTGAATGTTTTGGTCTCATCAGAGACTCATCCATTTTGAAAAAAATAGACAACTATTTAGCGACTGCTACTTAATCATGGCCTCTGTCTAAAGCAAACCTGTGCTTAGTATGGATGACAAACTTATCAAGAGTTATATTAGATCAGCATTACTGGAACCCTGTCAAGCTCACTGCAGGCTAACATTCATGTATGGTGGTCCATCACATACTGTATATTAAAGGTAGATGAATATATCAGTTCTGATTTCTTTCAGTTTCTCATTTTTCCTGTCTAAATTCTAGATCATGTATTTGAACAGCGAATTTTTCTAGTCTTAAATTTGGGTCCTACATTTTGAGATTTTTTTTTTTTTAATTTACATGAAAATTCTAAAGCTCTCTGTGTATGTGTGTGAATGTATGCACATTTTTGCTATATCCATCTTTGCCAGCAATTTTCTCAAGAAGTATTTAAAAATGAAGAACTCTGCAACATTCAAAGAATGCAAATTTTGAATAACCAAGTTTTGGTTTGATCTTTTCAGTTCTCTTTAGTATAGTCAAAGTTAGTTTTCAGGAATGCAGGCAGGTAAATCATAGCTCTCTGTGTATGTAAGGTAGAATATCACTCACATTTGTTTTGTAGATGCTAACTCAGGATTTTCCCATTTGGTTGAACCAATTAGGCATGTTTCATGTATGAATGTATTTTCTGGTTTCTCAGTTTACTCATCTGTTCAGTTTATAACCCACTATCATTTTGGTGATATAAGAACATTTTCAGTGCATTTCTGCATAGGGTCCTAGCTACAATAGATGAGTACTGTTTTTACAGTCAATGCATAAAAATTCTTAGAATGCTAGTTCTATATATCTTTAAATATAAATAAGTTTTGGTTACATGCTATACATAACTATAACATAGCATAGAAATGTTATAATAATAATAACAACAACTACTACTACTACAATCTGCAGCTCTTGACTTACTGGAGAACCCATCTTTGTGCTAACATGTGGTTGTGTAGTTGGGGCCAATCATAGAATCATAGAACTATAGAGTTGGAAGGGACCAGAGGGCCACCAGATCCAACCCCCTGCTCAGGGAAAGACAAGTTAAACCATACTTCTCAGATGTCTGTCCAGTTGCATCTTGAATTGAGGACTCTCCCATCTAGTGTGGAAGAGCCCACAACCTCCCTAAGTAATTGGTTCCATTTGTGGTAAAGTTAATTGGCTAGTGGCCAAGGTACAATGAACTATTCCAATAGTCACATCTGGGGTATGGACAACCCCTTGCAGAAACCATCCTTTTTATAGCCACAGATTTTCTCTTGTGCTTGACCTAACTTTGCAAAGGAAGCCAAGGCAAAGGGAAGTCAACGAACAATTGCAGAACCAAAGCTGCGCAAGTGGCAACCTTCCTCCATTCCAAGTGTGGCAGTACAACAGCTGTTGCAGTTGATAGGAAGAAGGGCACTGCTTTTGGAGCGGTCAAGTGAGGCTCCATTCCTGGTGAGCCCCTTATGATCATCATCATCTTCCTCTTCAAAATTTTCACTTCCGTACCACTTCATGGCCCAAATGCTCTCTGGGGCAGTTGGCTAAGTTAGAAAACATACAAACAAGCAATATAGTCACCGTATTTCAGTAAAACTTTAAATCCCATAAACAACATCAACCACAATAACAATCCACAGTGACTGCCATCAAATCAACACACGGCACAGCAACAACAGTAATAAGAACAATATTAAAACTAACAATTATTTGTTGTAAACCGTCCCGAGACTTTTAAGTATGGGATGATATAGAAAAGTTTTAAATAAATAAAAAATATATCTGGAGAATATCTGGAGCCAAAAAGGAAAATGAGATGGTGCCAGGTGTACCTCTTTGGAAAGCATGTTCCAAAGATGGGACTCCACCCCTGGAAAACCCCTTCTGGTCACCACCAACCTTCTTCCACAGCAGGTGCAGCAGCCCAAATGGTGGCTCCCTGTGATATGCAAGAGGGATGCTGCTAGGAGTCACGCGGGGCTCTCCAGGAATGGCGTCCATGTGGCTGTTTGGCCTGCTGCAAGTGGAGCAGAAGAGGAGTGCTGCTTGTGCAGTGCATGGGACTTGATTCCAGGCAAACACTGGAGAACACTGAAAGCACTTGCTAGGAACTCAGACCCAGGGCTGCTACAGAACAAATCCTAGGGCGCTGAGGCCAGGGGATCTGATGGAATCTCAGCCCCAGATGGATTTCTCACACATCCCTTAGTCACACCCCACCATCATAATCAGAAAACATAGGGGTTTGGGAAGCAGATTCCTGGTCTTCTACTGAGAAAATGTCTCAGTAGATGGATCTGTAACCTGGCAGTATAGGAGAGGTGAATGTGAGTAGAATCCTTATAGAGACATGCTAACATGGAAAGTCTGGCTCTTTTGAGCTCAGCGGGTAGCCTGCCTACTTCTGATCTAATGACTGGAGTAGGCTGAGTCAGGTTTTTTTCTGTAGGCTTCTGTCTCTAAGACAGGCTGCAATTTGCACATTAAAAAACACAGGAAAGTTGCACAAATTGTGCTATTTGCATAAATTAGCACATGGAAGCTATATATTGCTGGTGTGATTTATGCAATTCATGCTAGAATAGCATGGTTTCTTGGTTTCACTTTGCACAAGTAGCATAAATGGCATGATCTGTGCAAATTTTCTGAGCTTTTAAAAATGCACAAATCACAGCCCACATAAGAGACAGAAGTATGCAAACTGGCTCAGCTCACACAACACCAAGCTGGTGCCAAAGAAGGGATGGTGTAACTTAGTGTCCTGCAATAGCAATGGGTTGGTCCCTATGGCCTTCTGGCCCCTTCCAACTCTACTATTCTATGATTCTATAATGGCTAACAAACTGAAAATTCCACTGGATCCCCACCAAATCCCATCAGTACATTTCCTAGTCCTTGCTGATTTTGATGCAGAAAGGTAATTTTAACGTAGGAAGCTTTAAGGCAAGCTAGAGCTTACCAGAGCATAGATAATGATATGCATGCTGCCTTCTTAAAGTGTACTGTTTTAATTCCTCAGGACTATGAAGGTTGAATGAACATGGAAAAACTTTAACACAATTAGTCAAACTGAAAGTCTGTTTGCTTGTGTGTGAGTGTGGACATGTAAATCTATGAGCAGAGCCTGGTGCATCCTATGTGTGGGCAATACCTCTTTAGATTGTTAGACAGGGATTCACATTAAAGCATTAATTGTTTAGATATTCCTCCATTAAAAATATAATGCATTTATAAACAGTTTAATGCTAAACTTTGGTGGCCAGTCCTTTGGGTAAGGGAACTCTTGAAGTTTACCTGAGAATATAATTTGAATGACCTTATTGGAAATATAATCAAATATGTTTACATATCCTTTGTGAATGTTTTCTCAAATTCATCTTTCATGATTTCCCATTTTGCCTTCTGACTCCATACTAAAGCAATAATTGTTTCTTTATTACAATGCAAGCAAATAACTCCTGAGAGCAGAATAGTAAAGCTCATTAGGCCATGCCAGCTGCTATTATGATAAATAGCAAGAGATTCTCAACTTCCATTTCTGTTCCTCTCTCCACCACCTGCAGGTACTTCATAGACTGGAAGAGTGATGTGGATGGCTACTTTACTATAGATGGTATGGAAGGGACTATTGCCACAAATGAATTGCTGGACAGAGAGAGCACTGCACAGTACAATTTTTCAATAATTGCAAGTAAAATCAGTAAGTATAGCAGGAGCAAAATCACGTGTGATAGAAATGGTTTCCAGAATACTCTTTGCTTTAATGTTTGCTCATTTGATCGTTATCTTGCTATACAGTTTTCCCTTATCAATGAGTTTCTGTCATGACACTTGTATTCATTAAACAAGGGAGCAAGTCAGTTGGCTTTATGAGTTTATTTCAAGCATTAGAAAAATTATTTTCTGCCTAGCTTAAGTTAGTGATCGAACGTGTGTTCCCTTCTGTATTTGCAGCTATGCTCAAAAGAGAGATTCCCATAGGTCTCAATGGAACCTTGAACTTTCCTTTGGCTGCATCATGTTCAGTGCATAATATCAGGGATGAGAAAATGCATGTGGTGTCTCCATGTGCATGGCACTTTTAGAGCTGCTTATTATGGAAGCACTTGTTCAGGTTGCCACAACTAAGCAAGTCACAGTAGTTTCCATGAGCAGTGCTTCTTCTCGGCTGTGTGAGAAAACCATGTGCTTTCACCAAGTGGGGCATGGGGCCACTCGTGAATCTGTTTCATACTGAAAGGCCTATGACATCTGATCACAACATTTCATTCCAGTCTTTGGGTCTTACATGAAACTAAACTGGTACTATGAAATCAAATGGACTTCTTAGCTTTTCCTCATCATAGCATGTTACATGCATTTGAAACAATTTGACATTCTGTCCAAGTAAAGACAGTTTTCAGGAGCATCTCCACCAGCGGGGCTCCTGTCAACCATCCGAAATGCACATTAAATCAGACTTTGCCACTTTGCATGGAGAAACAGTTGAATGCCAGAGCAGATGTTAACAGGATCAGCTGCATCCTGCTCAACTCAGGCTACTCTGCAGTTGTTTTCCGAAGAACAATTGTAGCTTCGGGATGTGGCACTCATTAAAATCAGTGGTAATGCTTATCTTGCAAATCTCTCAAAGCAAATAGTCTTTACTAGGAATGATCTGAAATCTCATTAAATCCCAGGAGCTCAAGTCGGCTTTCTGCTACTGGCACTAGTATTGAGTAGTTTATACTGATAACGACAATGATGAGGGACATATAATATGAATGAAATTACAGTTAAATAGTTAATTTTTCTTTAGCAAGGATTGCTCAACTGTTTCCTGTAATGCAATTATAGGAATCAGAATGGTCCGTTATATAGTTTTTCAAGCAAAATTGTTCCAGAGAAAAAAATTGTTGATAGGATTCTTCCTGTGTTCGTTTGTTTGTTTGCTGAGGTTGGTCCATCCCGTGTCTGGGCAATACCACTTCACATTATTAAGCATGCTCGCATGTTTAGATATTCCTCCATTAAAATATAATCTGCTCACATAGAAAACCAGATTGCAAGGAGGAGGATTCTAGACAATATTCTAGTTTCAACAGCAAGTTTTAAAACTGGAGGGATTTTTCTTTTTTATGGCAGATCTTTCACTCACTTCAGTGCCAACCTCTTGTATGGAGTGGTACAGTTAGAAACAATTTATTACTTCAGTGGGAAATAAGCCAAAACCTTATCAGGATTACAGTTTGAAGTTCTAGCTGGACATTGTTCCATTCTAGACCTAATGACTGTTCAGCATAGACCTAGCATGTAAGCTCTACACATGATGGGAAGCAGAAGTGAGTCTTGAGTATGTGTTGTCTTTTATTTGAGGAAAACTTTCTGTGAACAAGCATGAACAGTTTATTAACCCCAAAGGTGATTAAGGAATTGGCATGTAATTGTTCAAATAGGTTTTCCAGGTCACCAGTGGTATTCTTCAGAGAATGAGGATTTCTGTCCATGAACTTGACTAGTAACTCTTTTTCCGCCTCCCACTTATTACATTCAGCTTTTTCATCATAGCAAGGAAAAATGGGGTGGGGCTAGATGCTTCCATGTAAGGATACAGCAATATTGGTGCGTTCTCTGTCTAGCTGTTAGGACAGCGGAAAAAGAAACTCTGTTTTATAGGTGGTTCACCAAAACCAAACAAAAGGGCATGGTAAAAAAAGTAACGAGATCTTTCACTGTACTATGCTAGTTCTATAATGCCACTTGGAATATTAGCATTTCATAACATACTTCTTTTAAAAAATGTTTTTCTCAATAGGCAATCCACTATTAACCAGCAAGGTCAACATTGTTATAAATATCCTAGATGTCAATGAGTTTCCTCCTGAAATTGCAGTGCCATATGAGTCATTTGTGTGTGAAAATGCAAGACCAGGACAGGTATATCCCTCATGTTCAATGTGTGCATTCATTATTCAGGGATGTGTACATGCAACCAGGTATGATCATTAACAAACCTCCAAAGCTAATCTAAAAAAATATCTGCCTGACAGTGCTTGAACTTTATTGCATTACTATATTTGAATGTATTAGTCACCTTTCTAAACATAGGAATGTCAGCAATATGCAATAATAATGATGATGCTTATCTGAGCAATATTGGTAAATGAGTAACTGAAATTGAGAAAATAACAACTTACCCATGATTTCATAGTGAGTTAGAGCCCAAGGGGAAAAAAACCTGCATTCATTCATGCAAAGTTTTTATAAATTGTTTTCTCTCCACTAGGGCACTCCAAGGGACTGCATTTTAGAACAACATTGTAAGAAGAATAGTACAATAAAATAACAGTAGAATAAAAGCAGAAAAAGTCCTTTCATAGAAGAGCTTTTAAATCTATTCAAGACTTCATTTAATATTGCATTTTGTTTAGTTCCTATCTAAAGCTTGGTAAAAATTGAGCCACCATGTCTGTCTTTCACAAGGAGTTCCATTGGCAAGGTGCTACTTCAAAAAAGGTCCTATTCCATGCACCCATCAACCTAGAATCCCTTTGTGGTGGAACGTGCAATAGGGACTTTGTTGAAGATTGCACACTACAAGCAGGGCCATATGGGAGAAGGCCATCTTTCAGATACCCTGGCCCAAATCATGTGGGCAACAACTCCCATCATCCTTCACCATTGCCTAAACTGACTAAGACTCATGAGAGTTGTAGGCCAACATATCTAAAGAGTCACAACTTCTAACGTCTCAATGGAGATGTTAAAAACTCACAGGAGACAAAATAGAGCCCTGAAAAATCCCAGAATGAAAAAGCTATGGAGCTGAGCAACAATCCTCTAGGACCATCTCCTGAGATCATTCAGGTTTGAAGTCTGCAAAGTCACAATTCTCATATCAGCCAAACATGAAAAATACATAAAAATCTATTCAAATTCCACTGAAAGATCCAGCAGAACCAGCAGGGATGCATGTTCACTGTCCAATTATTTAGATAGGTCTGCTACAAAAATGAACATGGCTATTTCTTTCCCCAGGCCAGACCTGAGCCCAGATTAGAAATAATCTTCAGTAAAGAAAGTCTGGAGTAAGGTTACCATCATTTCTTCTAAGGCTCAGATGTAAAGTGATGGGGTTCTGGAGCAAAGGTCTTACAAAATCTTCTTTTAGATGACTCACTTTTACAGAAGGGTTTACATTGTCCACCATCCAATGGGCCAGACCTCCTCTGGCAACTCTTATCAGGCAAGATAGAAATGGGTCTAATGCACAAGTGTCTGGCCATGCTTCCCCAAGCATAATCTCCACATCCTTGCTTATAACTTGCACCATTATTTGTAATACCACGACAGCTTGAACCGGTTCTTTTTATTTTTTTAATCAGGTATGCATACACTGTGACCCACCAAATTAAACCCACTCCCATAGCTATGTGTCCATCGAAGGTTCAGTGATCCTTCTGTTCAGGACTTCCAAGCTAAAACTTATACCAAATGCCTAATGGGCTGTATTACATTGTAGGTAGGTGAGATTTTTCTTGGTGGTTGCCAAGTTATTTCCTTTTGTATTAGACAAATGTATTACTTGTACATTGGGCAACTGAATGGATGGTAGTGTGACAGTTCTACAAATTAACTGTGACTTTCCAAAAGATGCATTCAACCACCAGCACAGTTGGCCTCTGGGGATCCACTGAAGTTAGGCAGTAAAACTGCAAGTTCCTTACTTAGGAATAAGGTTCGTAAAAGGCATCAATTTCTTGCCAAGGTGGGTAAAATCTTAGCAGACTGAAATATAATCACGGAGTATATGACAGACATAAATTCAGCTTGCCCTCACTAGCTTGTCTAGCATTTTTCTCCCTTTTCCTCATTAAGTACTCCCCAGGACTCTACTTTTCTTGAGTTGTTGCTCAGTGGTCATAAAGGCTAACAAATTTGGCTGGTTATACTGTTCTATATAGTCCTCTCTGTAAGCTTTCCAGAATCAATTACAGGGTTCCAAGGCCCCAGGGAATATCATTTTCTTTTCCTTACCTTGTTCAAATGTTGACCCAAAGGAGATGTGACTTGCAGCCACAACAATTTCTTAGTAACTGTTTTGAAATAATTGTCCATGAAAGTTGCTTCTGTGACATATGTCCATATTACGACATTAGCTCCTTTAACACATATGATACATGCTACAGCAAATTTACTGCACCAAGTCGATGCAACATGAATGCAGAATCCCAGATTCATACAATTAATCAGGCCCACCTAAAAACCCAATCTGGATCACCACAATCTGGGAATTTTGAAGACTATGTATGCAAACAAACAGCATCTGATGCTGAAGACCAGGTTGTCCTGGGGGTGCAGGTGGTGCCATACAGGTTTTGTCCTACCTAGACTTCTCTAGGTAGCCTAGGTAGGTGGGAGGGGATGAAAAATCCAATGAATGTTCATGATTTGGATCCCCTAGATTCCAGTTTATCAGCTCTGCACTCTCCAGTTCAGTATGGTGTGAGTTGAGCCAGTTTATGGACTTTTCTAACATAGGCTATAATTTGCACTTTAAATACACACACATACACACACACACACACACACACACACACACACACACAGGATTTATGTAAATCAGTGTTACCAGAAAAGAACGTGGTCCTTACACAATTTTCAATGACCACATAATCTTGAGGTGCCAATTTGCACATCATTGCATCAATCTTATGCAAATCATTCAATTACCACATGTTTTTCAGACCTGGATTAGCAGGTGTGCTTTTCTGGATACCAGTTTATGCAAAGTATGCAACTTACATGATTTATGCATAAATATTAACAAACCAGGGACTGCAGGTAGCACAGTGGTTTAAACTGCTGTGCTGCTGGGCTGGTAGATCGAAAGGTTGTCGGTTCGAATCTGCACAATGGAGTGAGTTCCCATTGCTCTGTCCCAGCTCCTGACAACCTTGCAGTTTGAAAGCATGCAAATGCAAGTAGATAAAAAGGTACCACTTTGGTGGGCAGGTAACAGCGTTCTGTGCACTTTGGTGTTCAGTCATGCCGGCCACATGACCATGGAGACTGTCTGCGGACAAACTCTGGCTCCCTCGGCTAGGAAATGGAGATGAGCACCACCCCCTAGAGTCAGGCATGACTGGACTTAATGTCAAGGGGAAACCTTTACCTTTACCTATTAAAAAACCAAATTGTTTAAATAGTGTGACTTGCTCAAGTTCCTTTAGGTTTGTTTGTTTGTTATGCACAAACTGCAACTAGTATTAGAGATGGCAATCCATGGAGGAGGGGCGGGGGGGAGACCTCAGTGTACTTCCTGTTATCAGGCTGGCAGTATGCAGGGAGTCCTTTAAGCCCAATGTGCTGGGTTTCCCAGTGTCAGCACTTCTCATCTTATGAGCAACGCATAGTCCCATCCATCCCTGGGGATTTTGAGCTGACCATTGTTTGATGTTTGCAAACATTCCGTTAGAGTCCACTGTCTAAACTTCATCTCAGTAGCTGAGCCAATAGCTAGTCAATGCGCATCTCCATTAAATGAAGCCAGAGATAAAAATAAAAAAGAGCACTGCTAATAGTCCAGCATTCTGTCCCATAGTAGCCTGCAAGATGCTTATGTGAAGACCACCAGCAGAATATGAATGTACTAGATCTCCCATTCAAGTTCTCTAGTGATTGGTATGTAGAGGCATAGTGCCTCTTGACTATAATATATATAGTCATCATGATTGGTTATCGTTTGCAGCCTTATACTGTATGAATTTCTCTAATATCTTTTAAAACCATCTGAGTTGGTGCCCATTGTTACCGTTATTCATAATGAATTCCGTATGTCCCAGTAGCTACAGAGGTTTCAAAGTCTGCAGACTGTATTGTCTTTAGGTTTCTTTTTTTAGTTTATTACTTTGGAAGACATGCAAGTAAAACTGCTGAGATTTCTTCCAATCTCTGCTTTTATCATATGTCTCATGTCATAATAGGACATCCAAAGCTATTTTTTTGTCTTGTAGATGGATAAACAGACGGTGGGTGGGTGGGTGGGTGGATGATAGTATTGTGCATTTCCATTGCTTTTTTATTTTCAACTAATGTGTAATTTTACCTTCTTGTGGTGGTGGTGGTGGTGGTGGTGATGATGATGATGATGATGATGATGATGATGATGATGATGATGGTGGAGAAGTCCCATTAGGCATGGGTCATCTTCCATCATGTGTTATATAACTCAACACTGTCTACTTTTCCTGTTATTGGAAGATTGTATTAAGCTTTTCATTTTTAATCAGAGCAGCATGCTCAAGCTTTATTCCATTGTGATTTCAGGTAATTCAGACTGTTGGTGCAGCTGACAAAGATTTGTCAGCTGCCGGGCAAAGATTCTCCTTTCGCCTGTCACCTGAGGTTTCTACAAAGCCAAATTTCACAGTCCATGATTTCAGAAGTAAGACTATTTATTTATTTTATTTTTCTACTTCAGGTGATAATGGTCTCAATTATTTTGTGCTGAAAACCTCATGCCTTCAACCTTCTATGTGTGTAAGAGAAAGAACAAGAGTACTGTTCCAATGCGTAGGTTTTTTTTAGAGACTGGACAACAGTGATGAGAGCCATGATTTCTATACAAAGTTTTGCCACTGTACACACAGAGAGATGCTGAGTTCCCCACTAGTAGCAGAATATTATGGAGAAATGTTCTGATTCAAGAAAGTAGGGGACAAAAATACAAATGAAGATCTCATCAGCTATTCCTGCCAAAACAATAGCCTAAGTTTTGTAATAATTCATGGAAAGTGGTTTGGAGTTATAGGATTTGTCCTCAAGAGGCTTTTTCAACCCTAGTTGATTGTGAGAAATTTATGAAATATTGTGGTGGGAGCTGGACCTAAAGCAGAAGTGGGCAACTTGTGACACTCAATGTGTTTTGTCCTACACCTTTAGCCAGCATAGCCAATGGAGAGGGTTTTTAGGAGTTGTAGGCCAAACATCAGGGGGGCTATAGATTGTCCACTTCTGGAATAGAGGAAGACCATAGAAAGGATGTTGAAGGATTTGTAACATGTTAATTGCTTTTTCGGCATCATGGATATACAGTAGTCCCCTGAAATTTGTGGGGGTTGCATTCCTAAAGCACCCATGAATTGTGAAAAATGACAAATTTGGTGCCGGCAATGGGCACTGGCCACCAAGGCGGTGTGGGTGGGAGGTGCAGGCCAGGCTCGGGGCCAGGCGCATGGGCGTGGCAAGACAGGGGTGTGTGTGCACAGAGATTGTTTTCTCCGAGTGAGTCCAAACTCTGAGGAAACGCTCTCCTTGCGAGTAAGCCACCACATGGCAAGTCACTGGCTTACTCTCAAGGAGATTGGCTTGGATTCGCTTGGAGAAAAATCCCGTGAAAGACTGAAGCCACAAACGCTGAACCATGATGCTGAAATGTAATAATAATAATAATAATAATAATAATAATAATAATAATAGGGGTTTACTGTATTTATATGACTACAAATAAAATGTCGGAAAAATTGAGTTATATGGTGCTTATCAGAAAGTTGAACGATAAGCCAGGTGAAAATGATCTCTGCGCGTGCCTGCCCCTGCCTTGCTGCACCTGTGCATGTGCCCCCTCTACCCCGGCCCGCGCCCCCCACCTGTACCACCTTGGCGGCCTGCGCCCATTGCAGGCACCTTTCAACTGGCCCCCTGTTGAAAAAGTTTGAGGTCCCCTGCTCTATACCATAACAGATCCTCCAATCAATTCAAATCCTCTACAGCTTCCTTTCCTTTTCTAAACTCCTCAAATCCCACTAAACATTCTAGGCACGGGAAAAATTCCACTTTCCTCTAACAATCTTCTGCCCGCACAATTAGTCAACTTGTCCATTGCAACAATACTCCGCCAATCCATTCCTTCATTCTTCAATTGTTGGGGGCTCCAACAATTTCCATCCAGAAGCAACTGCGATTCTTGTCACAATTATCAAAGAGCCAAATAATTCTAACATAGTCTTTGGAAGGCTCTCCAAGACTATATTAAAAAAAAACCATATTCTTCATTTTGCCTCTAATAGAAGCAGAGAAACAGAGCGAGTCACAAGGGGCCTCCCGGGCCCTAGTCTGACTCCTGGCTCTAGCCAGCTCCACTCACAACATGCCTACCATGAGCACGTCTAGCCTATCCTTGAAGGAGCTTAAACATTTATCTCTTTTCAAATTTATCATCCATTTTCCTTCATCCAATTCCGATTTCCTTCTTGCATTAGTTCTCTACTCTTCTCTGCTCCTCCACACACCCGCCTTTTACATTTCTTCATAACTGTAAATATATTCACAATTTAAGACTACAGCTTAGAACAGAAGGACTAAGGGAGGAGGAGATCAAGAAAATAAGGAAAAAGAAAAAAAAAGAAAAGAAAGAGAAGAGAGAGAAAAAAGAGAAAAAAGGAAAAGAAATGGAAGTAAATAGAGTCAATTAGTCAGCCTTCTAGCAATGTTAGAATTATTAATCCCATTCTATCTCTATTAAAATATTATTTTAGATTTATTTGTTAAGCAAAGCATTCAGACTTTCATAGCAGAGGGCTTTAACTTCCAATCTCCTCAAAGTCCAACAGGAGACACTAATGATCTTCTCATACTGCGTCAGGCTTATTCTCTTTGTTCTTTGTTCTCTACCGCCCATGGTCAAAGGAAGGGAGGAGGACCAGGCCAGAAAAATAACAGTCTTGCCCAGTCCTATCAGGGAGATATAATTGTTCCTTGTAGCAAATCATATATAGATCAGATCCAAAACAACAACAGAAAAATCATACAGCTTGAGCAACCAGCAACACCATCGGAAAATGACAATGGAAGAGGGAGACACTGTCTCTTCTGTCGCACCGAACTTCAGACAAGGTCAGTTTATAAAGTCCAAATTAAGGTCTTATTAGAATTCAAACAAAGACGTTAAGGGAATACCCCTTTCAAAGTCCTTGTCCAAGTAGGTAAACAGAAATGCCTTGAAATCTGAAATCACAGCCTTACATCTGAGCTATCCAGAAAGAGCCATTGTCCTTCATCTCAATTCAAAAGCCAGAAAATGAGCACAGGCATCCCCCCAGCTAATATTCTTTTGCCGAGGTTAGTTTAATTCTTAGTTTTAAAATAGGTACATTAAACAGCTTTGCAAATGAGACACCATCCATCAACAAAAGATCATCTGTTTCAGAGTTCTTTCAAAATATGCAAACAAATAGGCCTTGAGAGTCTAAGTTGCAGCAGTATTACTCCCTTGACAAAAAAAAAAAAAAATGTTAGGATGTAAAAAGAAAAGGTAAAAAATAAAAATAATGTGGGAAGAAATAGAGAAAGTAAAGGATTAAATGTGGGGGAGCAATTTTATAACTATTCCAGATTACTTTATCTTGCCATCTTGCTGTAATCAGAGATGCAGATGAAGAGCCTTAAATCTCACCTGTCAATTAGAGAGGTGGATTTTCCTCTCAAGGACAATTTTATCTTCCAAAATGAGATAAGGCAGAAGCAGCTGTTCTTCAAGTCGCCATTCCCCTGGAAGTCCCCCTGACAGCGTTCTCAGTTCATTTCCTGCTTTATCCTTCCTTACGCCATCCCTGCAATTCCTTGCCATTTGTTTATATTCTTCCTTTGTGGCCTGGCCCTGCTTCCACTTCCTGTACATGTTTTTTCCCACTGTCAGGTTATCACTTAACTTGATGTGGAGGCATGTGGGCTTCCTCCATTTTCTTCTACACCTTTTCCTTGATGACTGTTCATACTTGTGCTTGGAGAATCTTCTTTTTCTAGATTTCCCACCCCTCTTTCCCTTCAGAGTGAGTTGCCATGGCATTTCGGTTATCATTGTTCTGAGTTTGTCAAAGTTTGTTTTCTTGAAGTCCGGGATATGTATTAACCTTTTAACCTACAGTTAACCTTTGTTTCCTGTATAATTGAGAATTCAAGTATCACATGGTCACTTTCCCCCAGAGTTTCCATGACTGCTATTTTGTCTACCAGGCCACCCCAGTTAGTTAATATTAAATCAAGCATAGCTGATCCTTTTGTTCCTTCCTCTACCTTCTGCTAGAAGAAGCTGTCGACAATGCATGTTAGGAATCTCTCGGAGGGGCCATATTTGGCAGAAATTGTCTCCCATCATATAGCAGAAATTGACACCCCCCCCCCGCCATGATGATTATATCGCTTTTTTTGGAAATGGTGGCAAGTTGCTTTTTGAAGGTTGAATCCTTGTCCTCTTTTTGACTGGGTGGTCAGTAATAGATGCCAATAACTTTGTTTTTCTTATTTTTTTTCCCTTAAAATTAATCCAGATGCTCTCAATGGAGCTACTAAATTCCTCTTCTTGTATTTCTCCACATGTGTCCTACATATTGTGCAACTCCACCTCCCTTTTTGTCCTTTCTATTTTTCTTAAACAGGTTTTATCCATCAGTTGTAGAGTTCCAGTCATGTGAGTCATCCCACCATCTTTCAATCAATTCTATAAGATTATAATTGCCCTCGTGTACTATGAGCTCAAGTTCATATAGTTACTTACTTTCTAGTCTCCATTCAGTCATGGGACTCATTGAATGATTTTGAACCAATCACAGACTCTCAGCCCAACCTACCTCCGAAGGTTGTTGTTTGGAAGGAGGAGAATTATGCAAGCTTCCTTGCATTTGTTGGAAGGAAAAGGGGTGGAATGGAAATATGTAAACAAACTCCTAGCATTCCCTAGCCAGCCATGAAAGCTGTTAGGATTTTTTCAAACTTAACTTGCATAGGATTTCACCCTTAGTCATGCAGGATGCTCTAAGTCTGAAATCATAATCTAATATTTCTTCGCTCTTGTGGTCATTTTATGAGGATGCACCAATTCTAATGAAGCAAGATCAGTTCCCTTGGGTTGTTCTTCTCCCTCATCTGCCCCTGGCAATACCTGAAAGGCAGTTGGTTTCAACAGGAAGTGTAACTTTATGAAGAGATGTCTCAGATTTTCCCTCCCCATCCCTTCTGTGGCTTTAAAGCTGAAAGCTAAGGAGACTGCCTTGAGTTTTTTATCATTCTGTAAGGTAAACTGTGTCTTTTGAGCTGCAGAACAAATAGGGTAACCAAGCAAGCAAAACAGAAAATATTTCTGTGAATCTGATAGTTCCTGGATAGCATACAACAAATTACCACCTGGATTATAAGGTTGAAGTGGGATGAAAAGTTAATGCAGGGTGCAATCCAATGCCCTCTGTGTTTGCTGCTCATAAATCTTCACAAACATTAGTAGGAAAAATAGCACTTATGGCATATTGTTCATAATCTACACATTTTTGCATGTTTTTAAAAGTACACATTTTCCCAAGTATTTTACATTTCTGTGATGCAATTCTGGGTAAACATTTCTCAAACATATGCATTTTGCAAACAGTTTCCTACAAAGCACATTTTGTGTGCATTTTCCCCAAGTCTTGAAAAACATGGATTTCAATTTAAAACTCTGCCTTGGCATCGCTTAAAGTCTCAGGAAGGGCACATTGGATAAAAACATTTAAAAACAAAACCTTGAAAGGACAAATTTCTCACCTATCCCTACTTAGATGCATTCTACTAACCTTACTGGGTTGCAAACTGTACAAGAGTAACTGTCATGATGATTACTATTTAGTTCCCCTCTCACTCAAATAGTTTTCCATCAGGTATTCAGTAACGGATAATTTTAGTGAGAACTGGGCTTGTCTTCAAGGAAACAAGCTGGGCCACTTCATCTTTCACTTCTTTTGCAACAGCATTCAAAGAGGGAAGCGAACCTCTCCCCTAAAACATCCAATAGGGAGACACATGTAATGTTGAGGGAGATCCTGTGAACTAGTGAATGCTGAAGAGAGAGCTGAGCAGGAGCGAGTGCTCCAGGCAACCCCAATCAAACCTGCCAGCAAATTGGTTTCTAATCTTGCTTCCTGCATAATCCTTTTAATCTTTACATCAGTTTCCTTCTTTGATGGATTTCTTTGATTCTGGAGAAAGCTGCGATAAGCCAGCTCCTACTGGGAAAAATGAGAAAACACTACTTATGGGGGCCTCTGCTCACATTAATCAAAAATTGCTGGCAAATGTGTAATAGTATCAAGTGTCTAGTTTGATTTCTGGTGGGACTTTTCCTAATCATCTCTTCTGAACAGGTACAGGGTTGGGGAAGTTTCCCTACCTTTTTCAAGGTGTCTCTAGTGCTACCTGGCAAAACAAGAAAGCCATATTTCCCTTCCCAGTGGAGAACAGCATGAAAATAATAGCAGCTGAAGGGCATCCAAGCAGAACAGAGGGAAAACAAGAAAGCAGACACGGGAAAGAGATAACGTGCCCTGCTAATGTGATACCTCCCATTTTTGCCCCTCTTCTCCCTTTTTTTGTCTGCTCTGACAAGCCTGCTGTCAAACTGGACCAGATTGAAATACAAGAACTACAGTAATTATCATTTGCCCAGGGAAGGTGAAAGAAGCTACAGCTGAAGAGAATGTAACCATTTTGGCAGTGGTGGGACCCAGAAAGTGCCTCAGTAATTCTGGAAGCTGAGTTGAGGCACATGCAAGGCTCTAACAAGAAGCTCTATGTCACTTCCTTTGCCCTCCCACTTACTGGATAGTAATACAGAATGCACGGCGTGTTGATGAATTTCCCAAACCCCACTCCCCCTCATTGGCTGCTGTGGAGCCTTGCAATCTGATGATGCCACAGGTCACATATTTTGTATTAATTCGCAGGAAAGGGAGAGAGAGGAGGAGATTCAGATGTCCAAAGCCCTGCGGCAGCTACATGTAAGCTGCCACACTCATGTCAAATTAGAGGTTTCCTGCCTTTTCACTGCTGTTGCAAACTGCCCAGACTGCTTCAACTACTGGGTGGTATAGAGATGATGATGATCACGATGCCTGCTTTACCATTGCTAAACCATGATGCTTTGGAAGAACACAATAATGTTATCTTGACTTGTTTTCCAGACAACACTGCTGGAATTGTGGCTAGGAGAAGTGGATACAGTCGTCAGCAGCAGGAGCTCTATTTCCTTCCAGTTGTGATCGAAGACAGCAGCTACCCCATCCAAAGCAGTACAAATACATTGACAATTCGGGTGTGCAGATGTGACTCTGATGGCACTATCCTGTCTTGCAATGTCGAAGCCATTTTTCTACCTGTTGGACTCAGCACAGGGGCTTTGATTGCAATCTTGCTGTGCATTGTTATCCTCCTAGGTTGGTATCCCTCCTTTTACAGAAAACAAGTCTCACTGATGCATCATGTTTGGTGCCAGTTGCTCTCAATCAGGCCATGGCAGAATGTCGCAAAGGTGAAGGGAGGCTGAATCTCATGCCAGGTTGTGCTGGGAAGCTTCTCCAAATCAGACCTATACACTGGTTGGGGATGTATGAGAAATTCATTTTTGTATTTTTCCCAATATTTATCCAGTATGTATTTCCTAGCTGTTCCTGAAGGCAGAGTGGTGGTTAAAGCCTATGCTTTTTTGAGATTGTGATGCACTTTGGGAGGGAAAAGAATATTGTGCTTGAAAAATGGGTAGATTTTAAAAATCTACATTAACATTTGTATGAAAAAACAGAGTATTCTGGGTGTATGCCAGGGAAGACATGAATCTATAAAAGCCTATATTTTCTTTTTCCCCAGTATGCCCTGAGCAAGGGCCAGGAACAATGATTGTCTGTTTTTGATTTCTCATGCATTCGTTTAAATAATAATAATATAGCACAAGTCTTTTCCATACTGAATATGGAAAAAAATAAATAAAATAAAATAAAAAATAAATAAATAAAACTGAAAGAAAATCCTCACCCATTTGCACCAGCCAAATTAAATAAAGTGATACCTAGAAGAGAAGAAACAGTGTACCTGAGAAAGATGAGGTGCTGACGGGGGCTGGGGATGGATGGGGGAGACAGAGAGAGAGAGAATATTTCAGAACTAAATGCCTGATTTAATATGGAGCGATTTACCGAGCTATTAAATTCTAGGCACTCAAGTCCCTCTGACCTGGCTTCTGCTTCTCCCAGGTTTGTTTGGTTTGTGTGTGTGTGTGTTTTTGTTTTTGTGTGTGAGGGTGGTATTTATTTTAACCTCAAGTTATTTTCCTCCTGATTATGAAGAAACTCCCTGGGACTATATGCCTCTGGTATTAGCATTTTGGTTCCCCCACTCCTGTATTTACCCACAGTGATACATAATTTCATCACCACCCATTTTGTTTGGAAACTACAGCTAGTGCAAAATACAGATTACACTTGCAAAAGAAGTGGAAATTGCAAATTACACTTTTTTGACTATGTTACTGCCACTCTGTTTCTGCACACAATTCAAGGTGTCATGCTTACCTACTGAGCTTGAAATGGCTTGGATCCGGGATATTATTAAAAGCTGTTCCTCCCATATGAATTTTCCCTTAATTTAAGATCCTCTTCAGATTCCTTTCTACATGTCTCCCTAGCGAGAGAAGCAAGGTTGACAGAAATTCAGGATAAATCGTCATTGCTGTCACAGTCAACAGAACTCTCTCAAGAGAGCCTGGACTGGCCCCTTCTTTGCTCAGTTTTAGGTGGAATATTAAAATGTTTTTGTTCCACATGACTCTTTTTGTTCCACATGAAGGATGCAATCCAGAGAATGAATGTTTAGACAGCTAAAAGCTCTACAACTCCCATTATACCCCAGTCAGCCATGCTGAAAGTGATGGAGGGGGCAGGGTTCCATTTAAACATGCATAGAATTAATGCCCTAAATATATATTAATGCCATAAATATATTAGCATTGCACTCTATTTTTAAGATTCTACCCCTATCTTACTTGGAAACATGCTGTTTCCAAGTTTTTCAACTGTGTATGTGTCCATTTTTAAAAAATATTGGTGTGTGTGTGTTATGCGTGTGTTCAAAAAAATATTAATTGCAATTTTAAATTGCCTTAGGGGCATTTGGGGGTTGAAAAATAACTCACTGATGTATAAATGCATTATGTAAGTATGGGGTGGTGGGATACTTCTGGGAAAACAGTAAAAGTACTTTTCCCATCCTCTGCCGAGAGGGAGGGAGCCAGCAGAGTTGACTTTGGTAAGCTTCTGTTGCACCTTAGACAGGGTAGTCTTGTTCATGGATAGATTTATACAGCTTATTATATTTTAACAGAAAATTATGCTGTATGTTTTATTGGCAGAAAGCAAGGCTGTTTCCATGTTTCATTTACCATTCTCCTCTTGTCTTAGTCATTGTGGTTTTGTACGTAGCGCTGAGACGGCAGAAGAAAAAAGACACCCTCATGACCTCCAAAGAAGACATCCGAGACAATGTCATCCATTATGATGATGAAGGAGGTGGTGAAGAGGACACCCAGGCCTTCGATATTGGGGCCCTGAGGAATCCAAAAGCAATTGAGGATAACAAAATACGGAGGGATATAAAGCCTGATGCACTCTGCCTGCCTCGGCCACGACCACCCACAGAGGACAACACCAATATCAGAGATTTCATAAATCAAAGGCTGAGAGAAAATGATGGGGATCCCTCAGCTCCCCCTTATGACTCACTAGCGACATATGCTTATGAAGGAAATGGCTCTGTCGCCGAATCTCTCAGTTCTATAGATTCACTTACCACAGAGGCAGACCAGGATTATGACTATCTGAGTGACTGGGGACCACGTTTTAAAGTCTTAGCAGAGCTGTTTGGAGAAGAAGAAAGTTATAATCCTGATAAAGTCACTTAGCTGGAGAAGTGGAGGAAAAGGAAGCCCACAACAAATTTTAAAATAAACTAGCTTTATAGGACACAAATCCTTTGACTTATAAGAGACAGCAGCTGCTTCCAGCCAGTTCCTATATTTATCATACCATCAATCTTGGTTTACCTATTTGTCAGGGGAAGGATAATCCTTGACTGACTTTTTTGTTCTTGTTGTTGGTTGAATTTTATTTTTTTATTATTCCTTTGGAGATTCACTGAGACAATCTCAGGCCTATTAGCTAAAATTTATTGGTACAACAGCAGAGAAAGAAGGATAGCTTTCTGGCATCATGGTGGAAGATTGGTAGATTTTTCTTAATTCCACTGAAGTGCCTATTGAAACTCTTACATTTAAAGTGGAAATGACTGCAGCAATGGAGCTAAGGAAAACAGATATAAAAGGGAGGACATGCTCTTTTATGCCGAGAAGCAATAGCCACATGCAGACTTCTGTTTCTTTAAACCAAACAAGTGGAGCAGTGGCTGGAATCCGTCTGTCCAGTGACTGCAAATTGATGGGGATTGTGTTCTGTTAGGTTTTTTGGGGGGCGGGTTGTTTTTGTTTTTGCTCTGTTTTTTTTTTTTTTTAAACCAGGGAAACAAATTGTCTGTCAGAACAACATATTTCCTATGCCTACACTTCACACAGGAAAAAAAATAGTAAATTAAAAACCTATTATTCCAATTCACATTGTAAAGCCCACAAGTTACACTTTTTTCAAGAATTAAGAGAGTGGAGGGTGATGGAAGTACATATTTCTTATCTGGAAAATACACATTTAGAAAGGAAGATGCTGGTGTTTTTGGAGGGTTTGCTCAGATGAAGTGGATTCTTGGAAGCTCCTTTTATAAACGAACACACAAAAAAGATTTCAACCTTTGTTTCATCTTCCATTCTAACTTTTTCTTCACCTATTGTGTGTTGATCAGGTGCAGAATTGCCACCTGTTCATGATTTTGATAGCTTGTCTATACATCCTCCATCAGACATGATGGAATGTATTAGTGTCAGGATTTGTTTGAACAAGTTTCAATCACTGTTTTCTATTTCAGAAGTATGTGGTTGTAAAACTGGAATGGCTGTGTAGGGATAAAAAGAGAATTTAATTCCCAATGCCTTAGGCAATAAATGCAAAATTATGGTAGTAGATGCCAATGCCTATTAGTCATAATAATCAGACCCTTGGTTTTTTCTTGTTTTCCTCTAGTGGTGTAGTGAATTGCTGGATTGCTTATACTTTGTCAGATTAAAAATCGGCAGCTCCATGTTGCAGGTACAGCAATGCCATTATAGCTCAGTAGTTAGCTAAAATCCCATGGCATCCAAAAGTCTTCTATTGGCTCCAGTAGAGGCCATCACCTCGATTGTAATCCCCTACCTTAATCCACCAGGAATCAAGTGGAATATTCCAGGTGACATTTCACCATCTGAATTTAACTTTCAGTGTTCCAATCCATTGCAGAGGACTTGCAGTTATAAGCAAAGAAACACAGAAACAGAGTGAGTCAGAAGAGACCGCCTGGGCCATCTAGTCTGACCCCTGGCTCCACTCATGACATGCCTACCATGTACATGCCCAGCCTATCCTTAGACTCCCTCACCGTTGGGATTTCAACCACATCCCATGGTAGCCCATTCCATAACCTAGGGGTAATAACCATCAGGAAGTACTTCCTCATCCACCCTAAATCTTGGCTTCCTGAGCTTTGCTCCATTGGAACATGTCCTGCAGGGAAAAAAAGGCTATGACCCACCTCTGTGTGCCCCCCCTCATGTACCTGTATGTTGCTAACAGGTCCCCTCTGGGTCTCCTCCTCTCAAGGCTGAAAAGACCCAGCTCCCTCAGTCTGTCCTGATATGGCTCACCCTGCAAACCAGCCGCCATCCTAGTGGCCCTTTGAATAGGATGTGTGTTCAAAGGTGCATTGCCTCCACATTCTGGTGAAGTTAGTTATGCATAAATACCATTGGAAAATGTGACTTGCTTTGGCCTGGGATGCAACCCTGCCAGTTTTTATTCCACTGTACCTGAAGAGGTAGTAGCTGATGTAGGAGGACAGGGCAAGTGCAGAGGCAATAAAAGTTTGTTTAGGAGCTTTTCCCTTTTAAAGCTACAGCAAGGTACAGATGACTCTAACCCTAACCTGAAACTGAAGCAACATCTTGTCCCCACCCACACCAAACCTTTAGAACACCTTTATCTAAGTCTTGGCCCCCAGATGTTATTAAAATGCTTCTTCCTTTATCTCCAGCCAGTGATAATGAATGATGGGAGCTGTTGCATGGGGACATAAGGTTGCAAAGGAAGGATTTCAGAACTGCCGTGCAGGATTAGAAAAAGAGTCCATCAAACCCAGAATTCTGTCTTGCACAGGAACCAGCAGATGATTTCCATGGAAATAATGATCTCCACCAAGCAACTTCAGTTATGCATAGAGGTTGTATCAATCTAATGTTGCTTCGATGTGCTGTCAAGTCATCTCTGACTCACGGCAGTGAAAGCCCTCTGAAATGTCCTGTCAATGACAGCCATGTTCTGATCTTGTAAATTCCAGGCTTCTTTTATGGAGTCCATCTAGTTCTTATTTGGACTTCCTTTACTTCTTCTGCCTTTGAATGTGTGATTGTCTTCTCCAATGAGTTGTGTTTTTCCCAGGGAGGCAATTATCGTGCTTTGTGGTTACCAGTTGATATAAATTCCATGGATGTGTGTCTAATTTCAATAATGCTAGAGGATATTCAGTGCCAACGATAGTTCTTGATGTCACCAAAGCTTTTGCAGCAAAAGCTTTAAGTCATGGAACCACATGGTTTACACTTATGTAGTACACATACATGAATTCCATCTCTGCTGTGAACTAAATTTTGCCATAGAAAGGATGTTATCTCAGCCTCAGTTCCTTCATCTGTACTATGGGTGGTTAATACGAATGACTTATTACAGGGTTGTTGAAGGGATTGCAACAGGGAGATTTTCTGCAAGAGGCTGCTAATCACTGTATCTGCCTCACAAAATGCAGATCTTTGCTGTACAAGCAAAGGTTTTTTTCTCGTTTTTCTACTACACAGCCTCTAGGTGGAGCTGAGCTATAACTGAGTAGTGGAAATTCACAAGCACAAATAAGGCTTTGCAAAAGACTCCCCATTTTCTTGTTTCTTAAAGACAAAATAACAAGCAAGCAAACAAAAGCAGGAATGACAAAGTGCTTGGAAAACAAAAAAAAACAAGTGAGGCTGGAGGATCATTTTGACCTCTAAAGAACTCATAAACCTCCATGAGTAAGGAATTATGAGCACACAATAATTGTCTCAAGTAGAAAAGCTCTAGGTAATGAATATGGCCTTTTGGAATGCTTGAAAATTCTATTCAGATGATTATCTACATTAACATGCTTTCGCCAACATTATGAATATCCTTTCAACTGTGATCAAGTCCTTCTATATATCATTGCACATACATGTATGTGTGCAAACATTTAGAAATTTCTTCTTCCTGTAATATTTGTCTACAGATGAGATCCATAAGGAAGTTTCCCCCTGTTAATAATATTCTAATTTGAAAGATCAAATTAATTGATTTGATTTGAAAGGCTTGGTGAGACAATGGAAATCAAGAATATTTCATTTTGGTAGCAAAAGAAACAAAACACAAGAGGAGATGACTGAGTTGTATATACAACATCACAGTCCTTCCTCCCACCCCTACATGTTGTCTTCCAGGACAACTTCTACTGAAAAGCTAAATATCAACATTCAGGAATATATTTCTCCATTTTCAAGCCCCATTTTCCAGCTAATTCAGTCCTCTGGTTTGCACTGGAATGGTATAGTCCCAGAATGGCTGTTCCAGCCATTTACTAAACATGTTGATTTATCCTTCGAATGAATGATTTGCTTCAAGGATTAGGTTGTTAGACTGGTGCTGGGGAGATCCACATTCAAATCCAAACTCAGCTATGAACTTCATTGAGTTGATCTTGGACCAAGCACTATCTCAAACCTAAACAGTTGTTGTGAGGATAGTTAGCGAGGGAAGGATGATGTATGCTGCCTTAAACTGCTTGAAAGATAGGATGGACCATGATGTTATAGTGGTCACTTTGGCCATTTAACAAATCATGCTAAAACAGATCATTAAACTATCTGGATAAAGTCCAGATTCCAGATTCATGTTCTTTGTGACAGTATTAGGAAGATGATGCAATGCTTTTAGGAAAATATTTTATTAAAACACCATACTCATCAATTGTCAACTGTGTAAATTGTACGTAAATAAACAACTCACTACTGGGGAAACATACTTTATGCTTGAACAGGCTTTGCCCAATTTGGATAAGAGTGTGTGTGTGTGTGTGTGTGTGTGTGTGTGTGTGTGTTACTGCGCATATTTTTGGAGCAAGGATAGATTGACTTGACCATTTTATTTTCCTCATTTTCTCATTTTCCTAACTTTATAGTCCATCCTGAACTTGGTGAATACGTTTAAGTTTTCATGAAAGTTCTTATGATTTTTGTTCATTTCTCCTAATGAATGCACCTTTGTACACAATTTGGCCTAATATATACATTTTGCAAGCATTTTTCTAATATAACACATTTTACATGCATTTTGTTTTTAATCAAAAACGTCCATTACAAAATTTGGAGAAGTGAGAGTTTCAAATGCTACGTTGAATTTTTGGTTTGCATTATTGTTCAAAAATGCAAAATTAGGTAATACAAAGATACCAGTCCCTACTTGATATTTTCAGTATATACACACTGTTCTGTAAGTGATGACTCTTTAGACTTTGAAAGCAACATTAAAACAACAGCAGCAGGTGGTATCTTCTGTAGTTCACAAGAGAGTCAAATATACAGGGGAAGGGAATAATTTCATCATCATCATCATCATCATCATCATCATCATCAATCATCAATCATCTAAGAAAAACTCTGAGGGAAATAAATAGAGAGCAGAAATGGTATCATTCCTTTCCTAACGGCCAGGCTGTTTTGGTAATTGAGTATGGCAGTTGCTGAAAAGACTGTGTGCTAATTTCAAGGCTATCCTGCAGTTTGGACATTAGTATAAGCTTTGCAAATTCAGTTTAGGTGTGACGTCCTTTGCTCTGCTACATGTTTTCTTTTCAGACAGACTTCTTTGTGCAATGTGTAATGAGACAGCTGAGAGGACATGGAGTTAGACAACAATTACCATACATGTAACGTCTAAATCTCCAGCATGCTAATTTGATTATCTAAGTTTTCACTACACAAATATTTCCCCTTTCAGGGTGTCTTAGTTGTAACACAGCTAATGGTGAATCATGGACCAGCAGGTCACTTGCTTGGAATGTAATTTCACTTTAAATCCAAAGAAACCAGTTTTACAAAATTACTGACTTTTGCATGTCTTCAGTGCT